AAAAAAAAAAAAAAAAGAACTAACGAGTGACAGAACCAGGAAAGGCACCAGGCCTTGGGACTGCACGTCCCGTGTTCTGCTCCATCTCTTCCCCACACCTCCTCTGCCCTCTGGACAGCCCCTTCCCTTCTGTAGATTCTGAGCGGCCAAGACAGATGGGGGGTGGGGGAGAAAAATGGGCAGGCCTGAGAAGGCTGCAGCCCATCCTCCTCCTCCTCCTCCTCCTCCTCCTCCTCCTCCTCCTGGCAGCCCTAGTGGGTGGAGAGGGCGGCCGGCTCGATCAGCTGCAGTACGACGTGAGGAAGGGCTCTGTGGTCAACGTGAATCCCACCAACACCCGGGCCCACAGCGAAACCCCTGAGATCCGCAAGTACAAGAAGCGATTCAATTCTGAGATCCTCTGCGCGGCCCTTTGGGGTAAGCTGGGGCTGGGGAGGGCTGTGGGCGCAGCGAGGGTCTGGCCATGCCTCTGACACCCGGGGCTCCTGTGCAGGTGTCAACCTGCTGGTGGGCACTGAGAACGGGCTCATGTTGCTGGACCGAAGCGGCCAGGGCAAGGTGTACGGGCTCATAGGGCGGCGACGCTTCCAGCAGATGGACGTGCTGGAAGGCCTCAACCTGCTCATCACCATCTCAGGTGTGTGTGGAGCGGGGGTGGGACAGGGCAGAGCAGCCTGGGTCCTTGGCTCAGTCACCACCTTCCGCCTGGAGGAGGGCCGTCTTGGTGCGGAAGCTGAAAGCTGAAGCCGCACTCTCACCCCCGTGCGTGCAGACAGTGCGTGGTGGGGGCCCGCCGCGGGGCCTTCAGCGGGGACGGGAGTGTGTGTGTGTGTATGTGTACATGTCTGTCCCTCAGGGAAAAGGAACAAACTGCGCGTGTATTACCTGTCCTGGCTCCGGAACAAGATTCTGCACAATGACCCCGAAGTGGAGAAGAAGCAGGGCTGGACCACTGTGGGAGACATGGAGGGCTGCGGGCACTACCGCGTCGGTGAGGACCTCGCAGGGGGGCGGGCCTGCTTGTTTATGAGGAGAGACAAGACCTGGGCTGAATAGCTAAGGAAGCCTGGAAGCCAGAGGCTGGGGTCGGGGTGCGGTGGTGACCAACCTGCGGGAAGGGACCGCAGCCCAGCAACTCCCAGCACCCCTCGTCCTCCCTGTCCCCAGTGAAATACGAGCGTATTAAGTTCCTGGTCATCGCCCTGAAGAACTCCGTGGAGGTGTATGCCTGGGCCCCCAAACCCTACCACAAATTCATGGCCTTCAAGGTAATCCCAGCCTCAGCCCCCAGCAGCGTTCCAGGTCCAGCTTCTCCCCGTCCCCCTGAGCCCGTCTCTCCTCCACAGTCCTTCGCCGACCTCCCTCACCGCCCTCTGCTGGTTGACCTGACAGTAGAGGAGGGACAGCGGCTCAAGGTGATCTACGGCTCCAGTGCTGGCTTCCACGCCGTGGACGTGGACTCGGGGAACAGCTACGACATCTACATCCCTGTGCACGTGAGCTTGGCGGGGCTGTGGGGACAGTGGGAGCACTCAGTCTGGGCACCCACACAGGGGCTCCAGCCTACCTGCTCCCCCCCAGATCCAGAGCCAGATCACGCCCCACGCCATCATCTTCCTCCCCAACACCGACGGCATGGAGATGCTGCTGTGCTACGAGGACGAGGGCGTCTACGTCAACACGTACGGGCGGATCATCAAGGACGTGGTGCTGCAGTGGGGAGAGATGCCCACCTCCGTGGGTGAGTGAGGCGGCCCGCGCGCTGGCTGGGAGCGGGGCTGGGCTGCAGCTGCTCACTGCCCCTGCACCCCGTTCTCCCCGCAGCCTACATCTGCTCCAACCAGATCATGGGCTGGGGCGAGAAAGCCATTGAGATCCGCTCGGTGGAGACGGGCCACCTGGACGGGGTCTTCATGCACAAACGAGCCCAGAGGCTCAAGTTCCTGTGTGAGCGGAATGACAAGGTGGGGACCCTTTCCCTCGCAAGAAGGGCCCGGACCCCTGTGCAGGGCTGGCTCCCTTGACCCCAGGTCCCTGGGCGGAAGACGTTCCAAAGGACGGGTGGTTGTGGGAGTGTTTCTGAGGGCCCCCTCTGTGCACAGTCACGGCCTCCTCTTCCCTCCCTTTCATGTCGGGACTCTGGGTTCCTTCAGCCCAGGGGCCTGTCAGGGCACCCTCTTCCCCAGACATTTCTGCCTCTCGTTGGGAGTGGAGCACTCTGAGCCTCGTTCTGCAGAGCCTTCTCTCCCTCTCTTT